TTTGTTTTAGTAACTACATTTAATTTTCCAAAAACTGTGCATGCTCAACAAATAGTTTGGGCACTATCAGTGTTCACTGATGGATCAAGCTCAAGTAAAGCAGGTATTTATAGTGATTTTCATACATAATACAAACCTCATGTACTTCTGCACAACAAGAACTTCAAGCTCTCATTTGTGCTTAAAGTCATTTTGCAAATGAGCCAATTAGTATTTATTTATTTAAAAAAATTGAATCTTCAATTATTGGGTATACACCATTGCAAGAGCTATCAATTTGTTTCATACCTTGCAGAAGATAATCCAAAGGCATGAACATTCGTGTTTTGTAGGCCATATATGGCCCACAGTAATCTCCCAGGGCCTTTAACATCAGGTAATGATAAGACTGATAAACCCGTTGCTCTCTGTCAGCAAATGTCTTTGTATGACTGTGCATAATTTTTACATTCTTTGCATCATCAAAATGCTTCTAGTTTGCATAAAAATTTTAATACTACTAGAGAGCAAGCTATCAAGTTGTATGTCAATGCCCCCAATGTGTTATACACTTCCCATTTTTACCATCTGGGGTAAATCCCCATGGGTTCTGACGACGTCAGTTATGTCAAATGGATGTAACTCACATTTCTCAATTTGGCAAACACTTTTATGTACATGTAATTGTAGACACTTATTCTAGATTTGTCTCTGACACAGCCTGTATGAAAGAAAATACTCAACATATTATTTCTCACTGCCTAGCTCCCACTGCCATATTCCAATAACCTTTGCAGATTAAAACTGATAATGCACCAGCTTATACTAGCTCCTTTTCTGCAGTTTTGCCAATAGTTTCATATTGACCATAAAACAGATATTTCTTACAACTCTCAGGGTCAAGCTATTGTAGAATGAGCTCATTTTTCTAGTAAGCTACAATTACAAAAACAGGAAGGGGGAAGTAGAACTCTCCAAAATATCCTGAATCATGCCATGTTTCTTTTTAATTTTCCATACATGTGACTCAGAAGGTCGCCCTGCAGCTGAGTGATACGTCTTCCACAGCAACAGGTCCTTTAGGTCAAGTTTGGCGGAAAGATTAAAAAACAGGTCAATGGAAAGGCCCAGATCTAGTGATAATGTGGAGTAGAGGTCATGTTTGTATTTTTCCCAGAAGGTGCATTTTGTCCTCTTTGGATACCTGAATGCACCATCAGACATGGAAGAACTAGAGCCAAGGTTCAAACAACTGAGGACTGATCCAGAGATGTCAGCCCTGACTCCCAGCAAGAAAAGGAACCTTCAAAGGAAGAGGGGGAAAAAAAAAGATGGCCCAGAGAGACCCAATGGTGAAGCTACCCTCATGGAAGTAGTTGAGGAATCTGATGATTCAGCAGCAAGACCAACTCAGCCTCCAGCTATGATGCTAGTAGCAATGCTAGTTCTGCTAGTTCTGTGGAGCTGCCAGGTGAGTGGGACACAGGGAGAAGCTTATTGGACTCATTTTCCAGGTCCATCTTTAGGACCCTCAGCAGTGTGGACTGCAGAATCCATCCCAGAATTCACTAATGACTCATATATGATGGGAGGATTGACAGACACCAATGTTACTCCGTCCACTTGACTGGACTTAATTATTCTGGCTTCAGTGCTCAGGTACCTATGTGCTGGTCTCCCTCCATAAACATGCTGGCTGACTGAGAGTGTTCTTTGAGGAAAAGACAGCAGTTTGGGGGCCTAGACCAGCTAATCATATTGCCCTTGGGGACTCAAAGCCATATATTAGAACAGTTATTAAAATGAGACTTCCTTATAACAAGCAAGTAATTTCAAGAGAACTTCCACTCAATGTCCTAACCATTCTACAATAGAAATTGGCACTTTTGCTAAGTGGATGGATAGTATAAATACCTTGCCAGGGGCTGGGAATGTGGCTCAAGTGGTAGCACGCTCAACTGGCATGTGTGTGGCCCGGGTTCAATCCTCAGCACCACGTACAAACAAAGATGTTGTGTCCACCGAGAACTAAAAACCTAATATTAAAAATTTCAAAATAAATAAATAAATAAATACCTTGCCAGTACAGTTTAGGGTGTCTAGAGCTAGTGAGTATATTTTAGACTGGTCTCCTAGGATTGACAAGATTCAATTATGCAAGGGTACTGCCATGACCCCTGGACGATTTCTTAGGAACATCTTGACCTTTAGCCAAAGTGGCACTCAGAAAGATGTTTGGTGTTTGATTGCTGCCTCAGAATTTTTACATTTTACTGACAAGCCTTTACCTGACTTTGTAGGCGGAATTTTAAAGAAATTCTTGGATGGCCTGAGAGTCTGTGTTCAATATTCTTACATTTTAATTACTGGAGATCTGAAAGGTAAAAGAAAGATGATTAATATCTTGTAGCCTGTAATAGATGCAATTTAACTAATAGTATAACATAGTATGGTCGAGGGAAGGGAAGAGTGATACTTCACCAGCCCTCTTTTGTCTTATTTCCAGCTAATATTTCAGAGCCATGGTATGCTGATGCTGGTTTTCAACTCTTACAACAAATACATGGCCAGCTGACTGGACCTAAGCAAGCTCTTGGACTCTTTTACTTGAAGTGGCTGCCTTAGTTTCATTTATTGCTTCCTTGGTCACAGCTTTGGTGGTCATATCTCAAAATGTCCAGCCTGCAAATTTTCTGAATAATTTGGCTCAGAACCCTTCCAAAGGTCTTCATAATCAGATAATCGTTGATGAAAAGATTGAAACTAAGTTAAATGCCTTAGAAGGTACTGCCATAAATATTGATAATGAGCATTCAGCTTTAAAGTTCTAGAAAAGGCTCAAATGTCACACTGATTATAAATATGTGCATGTTAATGCTGCCAAATACATTGCTTCCAAATGGAATTGGAAAAAGGTTAAAAACCATTTATTGGGTATTTGGGCAAAGAATAGTAACAGCTTGAATCTTTTGGAGTTACATTATCATATGCAAGATATACAAAAAATGTAAGGTTGATTTATCAGATCCTACCTCTATAGCCAATCAAATACTTCAAGAGTTAAATGGGTTTTTACCCTGGAAACATTCTAAAATATTATGCATAGTATATTATTGGACTGTTCTCTTTGCTGTTAATTCTCTCTTGTATTGTAATCATAGTATGTTGTGCCTTCCAAGCAAGAATTTGGGAATTGGAGAGAGGAACTCATCACTTACTTTTTCAAAGAAAGAAGCGGGGATGTGTGGGGAAGCACACTGAATGAACATGCCTTTGAGTCCTGAAGCAAGAGGTTCTGAACAATTATTGTGTTCCCCAGTAACTCGGGCCTTACCTCCACTGGAATAATAAGGCGTGGCTCCAGGAGTAGGCGTTAACCCCTGGGGATGAGTTACACTCACCTGTTCCTTTGTGATCCTATTCCTTTTGCCCTTTTTCAGACAGAGGAAGTGGACATGCGCTCTACGGTCTACATGCCTCGATCTGTGTTCAGATACAAAACTCAGTGTCGTCTTTTGGAGGGCAGTCACAGTTCAGAAAAGTGTATTGAATGTTTTATTGCACAAACAGCAAAAAATTTACCAAACGGTGAATAAATTATTGGAAATGTGAAGGAGGCACACAGGCGCAATACCTACTCTGATGGCATCTCAAAGGTTCCAATATAATCACAGAAAAAGCACCCGAGTGTTTCCATCATCACATGAGTTATGCTTGCTACTGTGGGAAATAGAAAAAGACTTGCACATTATCTTAATGTCATTTTTTCTCATGTGTTATTTGCTTACACAAAGAAAGACAAATCGGTATAAAAATTATGTATTTGAGATTATAGAATTTAAACTTTTTTAGGGAGGAGACAATATCCAAATATATCTATGATAATTAGGGTGGATTTCATAGGACACACTATACCTTCACAGGACAAGAACCCTGTTTGCAGGGTGACCCAGTTACAGGAACTGCAGAGAAGCTTGTGTTTAGAAGGTGAGCTGCAGTTCTGCTGGTGGGGAGAGAAGAGCAGGAACTAGTGATGGGGAGAAGGCAGGGTCACTAATGCAGATTCAGGCACCCAAGGAACTTCGGAGCCACCCAGGCTATGACTGTGGTGAACACAAGTGCTCAGTGGGTCTGGGAAAACAGAACCCTGGCTTCCTGAGGTGCTGAGACTGGTGCAGAGTTCTCAGACATGCTCCTGCCAGGAGTCTCCAGGAAGGCAGCTGCCTCCAGCGGCAGCATCGTGTCTGCTGGGTGTTGTGCTTGACTCTGTATTCCAAGATCGTGTGTGTGTGTGTGTGTGTGTGTGTGTGACGTGCTGAGATAGTTACCAGAAAGAACTCGGGCAGGAACATTCAACGGATCTCTCGATGTCAACTCAAGAAGAGGTACAGGCTGAGGCAAAAACAATTCTGAACAAGAACTAATAAAGGCAATTTCTTCTTGTTTCCCTTTAGCGTTTCATTCCAGGTTGAATGCTCGATTTTTTCTATTTTTCTTTCAAGGAATTTGTAGTAGTAGGTTTTCACAGAGAAATGAAACCAAACTTCAAATGACTTTATTTGCTTGGGGTTGTTTCCACAAAACAGCCTTCTTCTGCTGCTCCTGCTCATCTTTGTGTCTGTCCCTGCCCATTTGGGGAACTCGGGAACGACTGGCCTCATCTTCTTGGATCCCCAGCTCCTCACCCCATGTACATTCTCCTCAGCGCTCTCCCTTAGGGACCCGATGTCACTGTTCTCAAGGTGGCCCTCAATTTTCTCTCTGGCCAAAAAAAGCATCTCCGGACTGAACTTTGGTGAGCAAGTCTTCTTCTTTATGACCATGGCAAGTTCTGACGGCTTACTCCTGGCACCCATAGCCTATGACGACTCTATTGCCATGTGTCACCCCACTGTTACTACATATAAACAAGTGTATGTTAAGATGATTCTGGGGTCCCAGCAAGTCACTGTCTCTAAATACAAAATAAAAAGAATTGGGAATGTGGCCCAGTGGTGAGCGCCACCAGACTAAATCCCCAGTACAATACATGTGTATATATATGAGCCTTTTCTTCTATTTGAAGGTGAGAAGGAATAGTGATTTACCACATTTCACACTCAAAGGATATTTCTCCAGTAAGCTTCCTACATGTTTATGAGTGAATAGTAACAACAGAAGACTAAGCCAGTTGTATTCAAGAGTGTGATTTCTCTGCAATGTGAGCTTGTTCATGTCTCCAAAGGTAAGTGGATCTAGCAAAGGCTTTATCACATTGTTGACATTCATAGGGCTTCTCTCCAGTATGTGTTCTTCCATGTCTTTGAAGGTGACTGGATCTAGCAAAGCCTTTGCCACATTGTTGACATTCATAGGGCTTCTCTCCAGTATGTGTTCTTCCATGTCTGTGAAGGTGACTGGATCTAGCAAAGGCTTTGCCACACTGCTTACACTCATAGGGCTTCTCTCCAGTATGTGTTCTTCTATGTATGTGAAGCTCACTAGATGTAGCAAAAGCTTTTCTACACTGCTTGCATTCATACGGCTTCTCTCCAGTATGAAACCGTTCATGTACCTGAACGGAAGAGAATGTAGCAAAGGCTTTTCCACATTGTTGACATTCATAGGGCTTCTCTCCAGTATGTGTTCTTCCATGAATCTGAAGGTTACTGGATCTAGCAAAGGCTTTGCCACACTGCTTACATGCATAGGGCTTCTCTCCAGTATGTGTTCTCCCATGTATGTGAAGCTCAGTGGATGTAGCAAAGGCTTTTCCACATTGTTGACATTCATAGAATTTCTCTCCAGTGTGTGTTCTTTCATGGATCTGAAGGTGACAGGACCTAGCAAAGGCCTTTCCACATTGTTGACATTCATACGGCTTCTCTCCAGTATGTGTTCTTTTGTGTACATGGAGCTGAGAGGATGTAATAAAGGCTTTTCCACACTGTTTACATTCATAGGGTTTTTCTCCAGTATGAATTCGTTTATGTATCTGAACATAAGAGGATGTAGAAAAGGCCTTTTCACATTGTTGACATTCATAAGGTTTCTCTCCAGTATGAGTTCGTTCATGTGACACAAGGGCAGAGGGCTTAGCGAAAGCTTTTCCACACTGCTTACATTCATAGGGCTTCTCCCCAGCATGTGTTCTCTGATGTATTCTAAATAAACTGGGGTAAGCACAGTCTTTCCCACATACCTCACATTTAAAAGGTGCATTTTCAGTGTGTGTGATCCTGTGCCTTTGAAGACTTGTGAGTGAAGTACAGGTCCGACCACCTTCTTTACATTCACAGAGTTTCTCTCCAGAATGAGTTCTTTCATGTCTTCTAAATAAAGAGGAGAAATGAAAGGCTTTCCCACATACCTCACATTGAAAAGGTTTACCTCCACTGTGTGTTCTCGTGTGTCTTTGAACACCTGTGGGAGAAGATGAGGCTTCAGCACATTGTTGATATTCATAGGGTTGCCACCCAGTATGAGTATCTTCATGACTTTGAATGTCACTGGAACAAATGGAGACTTTCCCACATACTCTATTTTCATAGGGTCCATCTCCAGTTTGTGTTAACATTTGTGTGTGAACACTTTGGGGAGTAACCACAGATTTCCTGTAATGTTTCAATTCACATGGCTTCTCTGCACATTCCTCATGCTTGTAGGGTTCATGTCCAGAGTGACATGTGACGTGCCTACGACAAAATGAAGGACATGTAGTCTTTTGCACACATAACACACTTACATGTATTTACTGTATTAAAATTTGTCTTTGTCCAGTTAAGAACTGGAATCTCACTGAAAGTTTCCCCACACTATCTTCTTGGCCTCTGAAGTTTACCACATGGCTTCTTTGAAGAATGACCAGCACATTATCAATGCTGGATTCATTCACATTGTTCTATTTATTTAAAGGTCATAAGCTTATGTTACTATGAATAACAGGTAAAGGCTAGGTTTTCTGACTTGTTCAAATTGCCTGAAAATCAACAGATTGAAAGGAAACAATCGTTTACAACACAGCTTCCCTATGGCTATCATGCAAATAGTGATATTCACATATGCAATTTCATAGTACTTTTTGAATGTCAAGAACTTTGAAAACACTGAATATCTGTTACAGTGAAGTATATATTTTCTGCAAAAAAAAATCTTGTAAGAATAAATACATTTCAAATTGTGCATATTTCTCTGGTTGGTTTGTTTTAGATATTATATGACATTCTCAGATTCCCTCCAGGATTCCTCTTGTGAGTACAATTACCTTAGAATGCTCCCAGAATGTTCAATCTGATCTTCAATGGTCTTGTCTTCCCATTTGTTTCCTAAAATGCAAAACCAGAATAATCTTTATAAATTTTTAGGAGCTAGAAATGCTTTTCCAAATCCTAGGTGCCATTTATGCTGCAATAATTCAACAACTGATTCTCTTTTCACCTTCTACATAAGTGACCAAAATAAACATGAGTTCTTCATTTGATTAATTTTAAAAACATCATTATTACCTATAGAAGCCAGGTTTTTGAGGACTTCCAGCATCACATCTCTGTAAAGGTTCTTCTGGGAAGGATCCAGCAAAGCCCATTCCTCCTGGTTGAAGTTCACAGCCACATCCTCAAAGGTCACTGAGATCTAAAATATCCCACAAATGTATAGTGATGACCAGGAGAGATTGACAGCATGAGAAATCTACACTCAACATGCATGATATTCACATGATTCCCTGACCTCTCGATGAATTCCACAATTTGGTCCATGAAATCCTTACTGAACTTGATTGTTCATGGCCATTCCAGCAGTAGAATTGGGCCACTCAAAAGGCAAACAGTAGAATGTTAGACACCCTTCCTTTGGTGTGTTCATAGGAAGTAAGAAAGCCTTCCAGGTCACTCCTAAATTCTCTGTTGGCTTTAACTATTACAGGTCCTAACATTATCCTGTGCAGTAGAGAGCTTATATTAACACTCCCAATATTACTTAAACTTAGAAAAGAAAGCTGACTGAGTAGAAAATTGCTGGAATCACAAAACAGCATTTCTGACAGATTCTGCCAACCACAGTGGCTCACTGGGCCTCCACAGTTAATGTCAACAACATGGAAATTACTGATCTCCCGTTTCCTTCTGAAAGTTTATTGTTCCCTCCTTAAATAAAGGCCTAGAATTAGGCACCACCCACAACCTCTGGGCATGGGTCACTAAGGATCTTCCCTCATAGGCAATATTTAGACAACATTTCACACAGTTGGTCACAATGTGTTCACTGGGGACTGAGCTCAATTTGGGTGATTATAACAAGAACAAATAGAAGTTTGCAGGTGATTGATTTACTCCAGAAGAAAACTAAGCCAACTAGTAATCAAACACAATGATTAACACCTTTATTCATTTTATTTTAATATAATGCTGTGAACCAAACTCAGTGCCTCACAAATGCTAGGCAAGCAATCTACCAGTGAGCCACAACCCCAGCCCCAAGCACCATGATTAACAAACATGACAATTTGACAATATCTGGTGGTTAATGTCAAAGCAGAACGGAGTGTGTGGAAAGATGGCATGTGTCTCAGAAACAACTCAATGTGCCCAAGATGTCACCTTGTCAAAAACAACGGCCTTACAAAGCTATATAAGTCTGAAAAACAGCCTTCTTAACAGACAGCAGAAAGTGCTCTTCCAAACCTCATGTCAACAATGAATGTCCAATGATTGTCAAATTCCTGTGAACAGCAGATGTCTCACTCAGATGATGGACAACTATGAGACACACACCAATGTGGTGTCTCAAGGACACTTTGATCAAGAATGGGCCACATGTGCAATGGTGGTCTGAGCACAGTGATGGTGCAGGCAAACTGGAATCTACGTGGCAAAAGGTACTCCATCCCTCTATTCTGCAGACAAAAGTCCATGTATTACACGTTGAAATGTGAAAGACTAAAACACTTTTCAGAAAGTTAAAGGAAACATGGTTTTAATTATTTATTTATGGTGGGGCAGATTAAAAACATAGCAGAAATCAAATCCAGTCCAGGGGATAAAAATCATGCAGCCACATCCCTCTCACATTTTTTTTTTTTTTTTGGTGCTGGGGATCGAACCCAGGGCCTTGTGCATGCAGGGCAAGCACCCTAACAACTGAGCTATATCCCCAGCCCTCACATTTGATGTTTTAAGACAGAGTCTCCTCTGTTGCTTCCCTTCTGTCCCACCCCACTGGCACTCAGGGGAGTCTAGAAATGGACTGAACACAAGCCAGTTCACCACACACACCGCAGACCAAGCAGTTTCTAAGCAAATGCATGAAGCCTTCAAGAAACAGGAAGAGCACCCTAGGAGAAAGGGGAGAACACATTTCCATCCACTTTTCAACAACAAAATGTACAAAGAATACTGAAAAACAGGAAGCCATGGCTCAGCAAAGGAAAATACATGACTTGAGATTGACCAACCCTGAGCAAGATCAGACTTCAGAATCCCTAGGTTAAATTTTCTTCCTTCGTTTCTTTCTTCTTTCCGTTTTTTCTTTTCATTTCTTTTTTTTGTTTGTTTGTTTTGTTTTTTTATACCAGGAATGGAACACAGAGGTGCTTAACCACTAAGCCACATCCCCACCCTTTTAAATTTTATTTATTTACTTTTGTTTTGAGATAGGATCTAATTTGTTCAGGGCGTCTCTAACATATACTGAGGCTGTCTTTGTACTTGGAATCCTTCTGTCCATAACATGGGATTACATGCCTGTTCTGTTTCTGGTCTAAACTGTAAAATAACGCTCTTAAATATTAATATCCATGCAACCGAAACAAAGTGAAAAATACACCGGGTAGAGCCATAGAGAACTGTCTAGGACAATGAAGAATGCACACTTACACTGGAGACATCAGCCTGACTCTGCTGGATCAGAAAGGCAGACAGGAGGGCTCCACTGGACTTCAGCCAAAGGGGAAGCACACAGAGTTCTCAGGGTCACAGCAACACCCCCAGGACAAAGCACATCCTGAGCCATAAACCACACCTCTACAAGCATGCAACCCCAAAGAAATCCCATGTATGCTCAAAGAACATGGAGGGTAAAGCAGAAATCAGATAAGAAGCATCCAGAAAGCCTTTAGACAAATGGAGGTGATGCACAGGGCTCTAAACAGATCAAGAGAAAGAGGTGACTCGAGAGCAAAGGTGACCATTCTAAAGGAAATAACATGTAAAAGTCCACCATAGGAAATCTGTAGAAAACAGCACAGGGGATGCTTCATTGGTACCTAAGTCATCGAAAGCACGTTTCAGAAAAAGAAGAGCTAAAGCAATCATTGAAACGTCCACTTCAGGAGACCAGAGAAAGAAGAGCAGGTAAACCTAAATCAAGCACAGGAAGGTAACAGAGTGGGTGTTGATGAAACCACAATCAGGAAATCCGCAGTCTGCAAAATCAAGCCCTTCATGAACATCAGCCTCACTGATAAACTGACATAAGGCTAAGAATACAGAGGACAGGGATTGGGCTTGTGGCTCAGTGCAAGAGTGCTTCCCTAGCATATGGGAGGAACTGGGCTCAATCATCACCACCATGCAAACAAAATAAATAAAATAAAGGAATAAAATATACAATAACTTTAAAGCAAAGAGCAACAGAACTGATAAACTAAGAGAATTAAAAGTATCATCATGACAAATGCATTGAGATTAAAGATTTTCATGAATATGTGCTTGACACAAATTAGACAACTTAGAGATATTGGACCATTTCTCGGAGAGAGACAATCTCCTACAACTTACACACAGGGTAAATACACAAAAGAGATGAGCCCATGGTTACCGAAAAAACAGACTCAATAACTAATTACTACCCCAAAAGACAAAGCAAGGCTCTGACATCTCAAACAGGCTTCCATGAGACACATAAGAACTGCCACCAACTTTCTACTTTTTTTCCTACAACACACAAGGCAAGTTGAACCTCCTAATTCTTTTGAGACTTAAGTTAACATATTATCCAAATCAAATAGATAAAGAAAAGTATTAAATAAAAAAGGATATTATGAATGACTCTCATGATCATCAATGCAAAATTCCTCATCAAACATTACTGAATTGAGACCCAAAATAAAATTATATACCGCAGCCAAGAGGGAATTATTACAACTCTGCGAGGCTGATTCAAAACTGAAAAATCAGTTAACATTACCCATCACAACACAAAGCTAAATAATAAATATCATGACTACATCAATAGTTAAAGAAAAAAGTTAAGAATAATGGAAAAACACACTCAAGCTCAGAAAAACATCAATGTCTTTATAGAGAGACAGCATGATCCTTTTCTCTATGTGGAATCATGAAGAATCATGAAAAGCAACGAGAAGATATTAGTGTTGTCATGCTAAATAAGAGGACAATTATTATATGATTGACATCAGCCAGCTGGGCATGGAGGCAATGCACATGGTCTCTAACACTCGGGGGCCTGAGCACTAACACTCAGGGGGCTGACCAGGATGGTCACCACTTTGAGTCCGGACTGTGCAATTTAGCAAGTCTGTGTTTAAAATAATAATAATAATAATAATAATAATAATAATAATAATAATAATAATAGAATTGGGAATGTAGCTCAATGGTAGAGCAGCCCTGAGTTCAACAACCAGCACCAAAAACAAACACCTCTTATACAGCACCAATAAAAGAGAAATACTCATATGTAAATCTGATAAGAATCTATAAAAAAAAAAAACTGCAAACTTCTAATGAGAGTGTAAAAGACAAGGCAAATACATGCAGATATTTCATGTTCACAGATGAGAAGCCTCAGGGTCATTATTAATTCTTACCAATTTCAGTTATGGATTCAATATGATCCCAATAAAAATTACTTTAAGTTATGTTTTCAGTAAAAGATCAAGAACAACCAACACAGTCATGAACACTAAATTCTCAAGATGGACACCACCCGAGGTTAGGAACTACTAAAAACCTACAATCATCAAGACTGTGGTATTTGGCACAGTATAAATATATTCCACTGATTTTTTAAAAAAAGGAGCAAAGAAAAATCAATGGAAAATATACTCTCCTGGAAAAAGTTGCCAAGGCAGCTGGACATTAATATGCAAAAAAAGAAAACACATTCACTTCACAAATGTCACAGAATCAGCTCCCAGTGGAGGCTCAGACTCAAGGTAGGACACAGAGCTGGGGCTGCAGCTCTAGCACAGCACCGGCCTGGCACTTAGCAGGTCCTGGGATCACTTGTCAGCACCAAAAAAAAAAAATTGCCTATGCATCATAGTACAAAATGCAAACTTCAGAACTTCACTAAAATGACACAGAAGTACTTACAGAGAAATCTGGGCTGGCATGACAGCTTCATATGCAACATCAGACACATGATCTGTGAGTGAAAAACTTGTAAATCGAACTTGATCAAAATGAAGTTTGTGTTTTCCAAAAGATGCCTTTGAGAGAATGAGAAGACATGCTGGAGAACTGGACAAAATGTTGTCACGACACATAGTGACACTGGGTTGGTATTCAACATGCAGGAAGAACACTCAGTAAGAAAGCAAGCAACTAAGTTGGAAGTGGGCAAAAAAACCTGGAAAGACACTTATCCAAGAAATAGAGACTGTTAACACAGGTGTGAGAAGATATTCACCAGCACTTAATTAGGAAACTTTAAATTAAACAATAAGGTGCCACCAGATACCCACTGGAGTGGCCAAATGCCAAACATTGAAAGCACTGAAAGACAGAGAAAACATGAATCGGCAAGAACTCTTCCCTTGCTCATATGAACAGAAAGAATAACAGCCTCTCTGGAAGACAGTCAATCTCTTACCAAATAAACATGGTGCACTCCAGAATTAAGTCACCACACTCCCAAGTGTCTACCCAAATGAGATGAAAATGATGTGCACAGAAAACCTCACAGCTGTGACTATAGCAGCCATATCCAGAACTGCCTAAAGCTAGAAACAAGGAAGATGTCACTTTCAATACTGAATGGACAAACTGTGGTTTAATCACACCAAAGAATGTCATGCAGTAAATGAGCTCTGCAGCCTGGAAAGACACAGCACCCTTAAAGGCAGACTGGTAAGTGGGAGAAGCCAGTTTGCAATGGCCAAGTGCAGTAAGATTCCAAGTCAAGAACATTCTGGAAAAGACAACATTTTAGATGCACTAGCAGAACTGATGGGTGCCAGGGACTCAGGGAGCAGAGAGGGAGGGAGGAATGAGGAGGAGTGATGAACAGAGGGAACCCAGGATTCCCGGAGCAGTGAAACTCTTCTGTATGACATTATCTTGTAAAGTACGTGACACACAAAATCACATCACACAGACGAGGAAGCCTAAGGTAAATGATGAACTTTGGCTTATCATAATGTGTTCCTCCATCCACTCTTCATCAAATGTCCAACACTGGTTCAGTAACTGATATCCTACGCCAACGCAAGATGTTGAAAACAGTGGAGAGTATAAATTGGAGATAGGGATGTTTGATACTATGTGTAACGAATGGCTCATTTGAATTGTCAACTTGATTGGATTAAGAGATGCTGATAGGAAGGGGCTTCTGGGTGTGTCTGTGAGGGTGTGTCTAGGAATGATTGGCATGTGAGATAGCCAACTGAGGTGGGGAAACCTCCTTCAGCTAGGCAGCCCCATCCAATAGGACAGTGTCTTGGGTGGAACAAAAGTTGGAAGAAGGAGGAAGCAGCAGCAGAGCAAGCTCCTTTCTTCTCCAATGGCTGCTGCAATGGCCTGAGGATATCAGACTCTGCCTTCTTCACTCTCCCAAAGTGGACTCTGCCAGTGATTCTCCAGGGAGTTTCCAAAACCTTTGGTCTGGACTAGGGCAGCACCATTGATCCCTCTCGTTCTGAGGCTTCAGCCTCTTGGACTCTGCAGCTACTACTTCTCAAGCTCTCCAGCTGCAGAAGGCCACCGTGGACATCCAGCTTTGGGTCAAGTAGGCCAATCTAAAAGTCCCCTTTCATAATCATACTTCCTCTTGATACTGTTCCTCTAGCGAACACTGACTAATAAATGAAATAAGCCTGAAATTGCTCTGGAAAACAAAGATTATTTAATAAAAAAAAGTGGATAAATATCTTACCATTGAGTCTCACAAATATATACCCAAGAAACAATATTACATACTGAAAACCTTTTTCATAATAATGTAAAAATAAAGGAAAAAGGAAGAGTCATAGTATCAAATTTCAAAACTTGAGACAAAAGCAAGGAAACTGATTTTCAATACTGTGTCCATCTGGAGAGAAATGGGATAATAAGTCTAAAAGGCATTCCAAGTGCTGGTGTGGTGGTGTTGTTATGGGCGAGGCTGTATGGACAATGACCAAACAGACTCCATTTTACCCTGAGACTCCATATCATGTAAGAAATGCTTCTCCCGTGGGAAAGCCCCTCCTCTGTACCCCCTAATAGTTACCTAGCATAACATACTTGGCAACACAAAGTAGCAATTCTTATATAATGTGAAATTGTTCTCTTTGGTTTCCATTTTTCTTGGGCAATGTACCTTTGCTGTCATTCTGGTTACTGATGTGGTCAATTAGTTTCTCAGCTACCTTAGTTGTGGGGTGGGGGGGATAGAGTGGGGCGTGCCCATCAATCGTACACAAGCAAGATAGTATCCATAAGCCAATCATCTTATGCCTAATGTAACCACACTAGGAGGGTGCTCTAAATATGGCTATCATCAGGAAGGGTCTTTGTCCCTAGGGAAGGGGGTTTCTAAGAAGTTCCATGTCCAAGCTCCTGGTTATCAGTTTCCTGGCCTGGCAGCTTGGCAATGCTAACCACAAAGCTAAGGATGTGGTTTCACTAATGGCTCACTAGAGCAGAGCATCCCATCCTGCAGCCCTTCCTATCAGGCCTGAACGAGTGGAGATTCTTCAAGCACTCAGAGCTGCTCAGAGCTGCTAGCTGCTAGCTGCAAATGGAAAGTTATTCCAACATACCTTGTCAGAGATTGATTGTCTAGATGTTAATAACCACTGTCTAACTTGTAGTGAACTAGGGTCATTTTGACCCACTTCCCTTCTGCTGGCTTGCTGCTCCGCCAACCTGGAAAGTCCTGTGGGAAATACCAATGTACCAATTGCATTGTCTCACTAAATGCCCAATTCAGCTTCTGCACCTGCTTACTTATAGTTGCGTCAACCCAGATGGAGTTTTTACCTTTAAATATCTTAAAACGCTCAGGCTTAGAGCTGTTCCTTGCAGACAAAATTATGGGTCCTGCGGGGAGTCATCACCGGCTGGCCAGCTAAATAAAGACTCTTCAATTCAGACAGAACTGGGACTTGATATGTTTTCTGAGGGACCCGCCCCGCAACAATGTGCACCTGCAATTTCAGCCACTAGGGAGGTTAAGGCATAAAAATGGCAAGTTTGAGGCCAGTCTCAACAACTTAGAAACACACTCAGAAATTTAGTGAGACTGTGGTCTTTGTCAAAAATAAAAAGAAGGGACTGGGACTGTAGCCGAGTGGCAGAGCATTTTCTAGCATGTGTGAGGCACTGGGTATGATCCTCAGCACCATAGAAAAATAAACAAAATAAAGATATTCTGTCCATCTACAACTATAAAAAATAAAATAAAAAAATAAAAATAAATAAATAAGAAGAAGGGCTGAGGATATTCTCAGTGATTTAGTCCCCAGTAAAACATCTGCCCACCTCCAAAATACTGTTCACAAAGTTGAAATTTTTTTTTGGAGGATAACTAAGCATGAGCAAGTTCATGGCTTCAATCCACAGTAATCAGTAAGTAAGCAAATAAATAAACAACAGTCCATAATATTAATTTTCTTGGTCTGGAGAGTAGCTTGGTAGTAGAGAATTTGCCAAGCATGCATGTGGCCCT